TTACTCAGAATGTATAGCTAGAAAGATCCAGTATCTTTGTACTAATAAGGCTGAGATTAGATGTCTTTTAGGTCTCCAAGAGACAGGAAAAAGCCAGGCCTGGGGCTGAGCTCTCGATTAAAGCTACTGCTCTCAACAGGGTGATTTCTCCCCCAGGGGACATTTGGCGAAGTCTGGAGATATTGCTGGTTGTCACAGCTCCGGGGTGGGCACTCCTGGCATCTCTCGGGTGGAGGCCAAGGATGCTGCTTAACATCCCACAGTGCACAGGGTGCCCCCACAACCCGGTCCAAAATGTCAACAGCATCGAGGTTGAGAAACCCTGCGTTATCTTGGTTTATTCGTCAAAATCCAGTCGGTGGCTGGAGAATGGCCACCAAGGCAGCGCATGTTCCGTGACTCACTGCAGCTCTGGCCTAGGGCTGCTCCCGCTGCTGCAGGAGGCTGCTCAGCAGCTCAGGGCGGGGCCCAGGCAGCGCCGCGGCTCCTGGCCCTGCCCCGGCTGAGGCTGAAGCTGTCTGCACGGGTCCCCGCCTCTTAGGTGCACTCCTAAGGGTGGGAATCACAAGGCAATTTGCAAGGTCCGGAGCAAAATGACAATCCGGATCCTTGTTCAAAAGTTAAGAATTCCAGGACAGTCACAGCAGAGCATTAACCCAAGCACAAGGCCCTTCAAGATTGCGACACTTGTAAGTGCACAGGTCACACGCCCAGGAAGCCGGTCTGGCCAGACAGGAGCTCCAGGTGGAAGGCTGGGCGATCAGAGGGCACACGTCATCCTTCTTCCAGGGACCACAGTCCTGCGATGCTGGTTGTCCGGTGTCTGAAAACAATTGTTTCCTATTATCTTATTCACTTTTCCAGTTGTTTACAGCAGGAAGACAAGGCCAGTATTCGATGCTTCATCATGGCTGGAAGAGGAAATTACCTTTACATGTCTTCTCATGTATATATTTCATATACCTGTGCCAGGTACTATATCAGGCAATGTCATTATTATTTTTTATTTATTTTTTGTGGTACGCGGGCCTCTCACTGCTGTGGCCTCTCCCACTGCGGAGCACAGGCTCCGGACACGCAGGCTCAGCGGCCATGGCTCACGGGCCCAGCCGCTCCGCGGCATGTGGGATCTCCCCGGACCGGGGCACGAACCCGTGTCCCCTGCATCGGCAGGCGGACTCAACCACTGCGCCACCAGGGAAGCCCCTGTAATAATGTATTTTAAATAACATATATTGTAAATTCATTTTAAGTTATTTCAGGTCTTTATACTTGCAAATGATGTTTAGATGTATCAGGTAAAAATACATGATTTCTTTATATAAGGGAAATTAGATTTGTAATTAATAGCTAAACATTAGATTTTTTTAAAACAATTTTATTTATTTATTTTTGGCTGCGTTGGGTCTTCGTTGCTGCATGTGGGCTTTCTCTAGTTGCAGCGAGCAGGGGCTACTCTTCGTTGAGGTGCACGGGCTTCTCATTGCGGTGGCTTCTCTTGTTGTGCAGCATGGGCTCTAGGGCATGCGGGCTTTAGTAGTTGTGGCACGCTGGCTCAGTAGTTGTGGCTCGCGGACTCTAGAGCGCAGGCTCAGTAGTTATGGCGCACGGGCTTAGTTGTTCCAGGGCAACTTGGGATCTTCCCAGACCAGGGCTCGAACCCGTGTCCCCTGCATTGGCAGGCGGATTCTTAACCACTGCGCCGCCAGGGAAGCCCCTAAACATTAGATATTTAAGAGAACAAAATAGATGTGTTTGCATGCTTATAAATAAATGGTACTACATATTCCTATATCATTCTGCAACTTGCATTTTCTACTTAATAATGTACCTTCAAGTTCTAACCATATTCTAATACCTCATTTTGAAAACGGCTGCATAGGATTTCATAACCTGAACTCTGGTGCTTTACATATGTCATCCAGTGTCAGGCATATCGGAGGTACTCGATACTTATTTGTTTTATGAACAAAAATGCACCTTTTCTCTAAGACGTAGAATCCTTGAGGGCCTCAGCGTGTGTCTGTTCCATTCCCTGCCTATAGAACTTGCCAGCAGAGAGAGGCCGCAGCATTAACATTGGTTATAACTATAAAATCTCCTTGACTCTACAGAATGATTCTGTGCGTCAGGTCTTAGTTTCCTCACCTTGAAGAGGGAGTGGATGAGGGTCAGAGAAGCTACATAACTTGCCCAAGGCCACACACCAAATAAAAAGCAGGGCTACAGGCTTCAGAGTCTGAAAAGCCTAAGGTGAGCAGAGACGCTGAGCTTCCAGAGGGAGTTACCTAGCCAAGCAGGGGAACAGGCAGGGGAAGTTTGGAGAGGAATACGGGAAGAGATGGAAGGAAACAAAGGGAGGAGGTCAAGGGAGAGGGAGAAGAGGGCTGCCATGCCTACAGGGCCACTACAGGCTGCTTGGTGACCCCCAGCCCTGTCTGGTCCTACTGCCTTTGGCTGGTGTGTCCTTGTGGCAGTGGAGTCCATAAGACTCTTTCAGAGGGTCATGAGAGCACAGCTATTTCATAACAGCATGTCATTTGCCTCCTTCCCTCGGTTCGGTGGAATTTTCCAGAGGCTACGTGATGTGTACTATCACAACAGATTGGAGGCGGAAGCAGGCAGGAGAACCCAGTTGCCTTCTGTTACGCCAGGCATTAAAGGGAGCTGTAACATGTAAAAACAAACCAGCAGACAAATCCCAACCACGGTTCTCACTATATATTTTTTTTAATTTTAGAAAATATGGTTACTTTCTTCATAAAATATGTTTTTAGGTTAATATGTCATGGGTGTGTATTATTGTTACTTTCAAATAAATGTTTTAAATGTCTCAGTAATTTCTGATACAGTAACTATTGCTAACCCACATAATCAAAAGCTTTCTGAGAATTTCAGGAATTTTTCTCAATGTAAAGAGGTCCTTAGACCGAAACTTGGAGAATCTCTGCCCTTTGGTGCCCTTGGTATCTCGTCACCAAGGAGATGCTCATTTACTGCATGATTAAATAGATATATGAAGGGACAAATAAGTGGGTAACTAAATGGAATACTATCCCACCATGAAAAAGAATGAAATCTTGCCATATGCAACAACACACAAGGCATTATGCTAGAAATGAGTCAGACAGAGAAAGAAAAATACCATATGATCTCACTTATACGTGGAATCTTTTTTGGGGGCTGAGTGGTGTGTGGGATCTTAGTTCCCCAGCCAGGGATTGAACCTGCACCCCCTGCATTGGAAGCGAGGAGTCTTAACCACCAGACCGCCAGGGAAGTCCCTCTATGTGGAATCTTAAAAACAAAAACAAAGTCAAAACACCAAGTTCATACATGTGAAAACAGATTGATGGTTGACAGAGGTGGGGGGGGCAGGCAAAATGGGTAAAGGGAGTCAAAATTTCCAGCTATAAAAAAAAATAAGTCTCAGGGATGTAGTGTACAGCATGAGGACTATAGTTATTAATATCGTATTGGGACTTCCTGGTGGTGCAGTGGTTAAGAATCTGCCTGCCAGTGCAGGGGACACGGGTTCAAGCCCTGATCCAGGAAGATCCCACATACCGCAGAACAACTAAGCCAGTGCGCCACAACTACTGAGCCTGTGCTCTAGAGCCTGTGAGCCACAACTACTGAGCCCACATGCCACAACTACTGAGCCCGCGTGCCTAGAGCCCGTGCTCTGCAACCAGAGAAGCCACCGCAATGAGAAGCCCACGCAACACAAAAAAGAGTAGCCCCTGCTCGCCGCAACTAGAGAAAGCCTGTGCACAGCAATGAAGACCCAATGCAGCCAATAAATTAATTAATTAATTAATTAATTTTAAAAAATAGTAATAATATCGTATTGCATATTTGGAAGTTGCTAAGAGAGTAGATCTTAAAAGTTCTCATCATAAGAAAAAAAATAATTCTGTAACTATGGTGACAGATGTTAACTGGACTTATTGTGGTGATCAGTTTGCAATATATACAAATATGAAATCATTATGTTGTACTCTTGAAACTAATGTAATGTATGTCAATTACACCTCAATTTTAAAATTGATAAATTAATTCTTAAAAAGAATTACATTTTGGGCTTCCCTGGTGACTCAGTGGTTGAGAGTCTGCCTGCCGATGCAGGCGACACGAGTTCGTGCCCCAGTCCAGGAAGATCCCACATGCCGCAGAGCGGCTGGGCCCGTGAGCCATGGCCGCTGAGCCTGCGCGTCTGGAGCCTGTGCTCCACAACGGAAGAGGCCACAAAAGCGGGAAGCCCCCCACCTACAAAAAAAAAAAAAAAAAAATTACATTTTGGGGTACATTAGAGGATAAGAGATCTACTGCTCTAAGCGTCCCCAGAAGAAAGCGGGGAGGCGGGCAAGGACAGCCCTGTCCCTCTTGACAGGTAGAGCTTCTTCCTTTGTAAATGAGACAGTTGTAGGTCCCCATGAGAATGTTCTGCTTAGCTTCCCTTCATAAGAGCATTGAGCAGAGTACCTGGCACTGGGGAAGGAAGCGTGGGCTATGAATACGATAGAAACCTTCTGGATTGGTTGTTATTTTGCATCTCCTGTGGGTAGGCGGCCAGAGGTTTTCTGAGCAGTTTACCCATCCCCTCCCACCTGCCCCCACGGTCCCACCTCTAGATTTGAGTTTCTCCTTCTATCCGACGGAAGGGGAATGGATGGTTCAGGGACAGTCTCTGGGGAGGCCAAGGGGTCTGCCTCTGCACCTCTGAGAAGGCTGGCAGTGGTGGGAGAAGGGAGCGGGCAGGGGGAATTGGGGTCAGCCTTCCAGTGCCGGGCTGATGGTGGCAGCCATCAGTGTTAAAACCCAATACTGCAGAGCATCCACCACACATCCAGGACCCTACAGCCATCCTGTATCCTTCAGGGAACTTTTAAAATCTTCTAGGGAAGGCGGGTGGTGGGATGAATTGGGAGATTGGGATTGACGTATGTACACTATTGATACTATGTATAAAATAGATAACTAATGAGAACCTACCGTGTAGCACAGGGAACTCTACTCAATGCTCTGTGATGACCTAAATGGGAAGGAAATCCAAAAAAGAGGGGATATATGCTGATTCACTTTGCTGTACAGTAGAAACTTAACGCAAACATTGTAAAGCAACTATACTGCAATAAATATTAATTTAAAAAAATGAATCCACTCACTAAAAGTTAAATCCAGCACATTATTAAATGAATCCATAACAAAGAGCTAATTTACCTTATATAAAGATCTTTTATGTAGTATAAAAAGATCTACTACAAATAAATAAGAAGTCAACAACCCCAATAGAAAATTGGGCAAGAAATATAAATAAAACACAGGTATTGAAGTATAGATGACTTTTAAACATATGAGAAGATTCTGTACTTCTCTCCTAATAAGAGAAATACAAATTAAAATTATACTGAGATATCATTTTTCACCTGTCCGTCCATCCTCCTCTCTGTAAATGCAAAGAAAAATGTATCTAATAATATTTTCCTAATATTAGCGGTAATAATGTTTAGATAGTAGGATTTGGGGAGCTTTTAAAACATTTATTGTTGTATTTGCTATAGTGTCTATATTCCTTATAATGAGCATGTATAAGTTTTTAAGTAATTTTCATTAAAAAGTAAAACTGGAGCTCCCCTGGTGGCGCAGTGGTTGAGAGTCCACCGGCCGATGTAGGAGACATGGGTTCATGCCCCGGTCTGGGAGGATCCCACATGCCACAGAGCGGCTGGGCCCGTGAGCCGCTGAGCCTGCGCGTCTGGAGCCTGTGCTCTGCAATGGAAGAGGCCACAGCAGTGAGAGGCCCACGTACCACAAAAAAAAAAAAAAAGAAATAAATATAAAGAAATAAAACTGGAAGTAAATATGCAAAATAAATAAATCAAATCAAATCTCCACTGGCCTGACACCCCAAAAGTTTTCTCCATGGATGGGGTTTGGGTGGGGGAGGGGTGGGATACAGTGTTAATTTCTAAGCACTGGAAATTGACAGAGCCCTAACGGTGATGGAGCCCAGGGAGTTTGGGTGCTAAATTCCACCAAGGTCTTAAAACAGACACCAGCAGAGGGAGGGAGACAGGGCAGAGCTGCACCCATGAGAGCAGAAACCTCTGGGTGCTATGGGCCACGCGTTCACAACCTCTTGGGGTTTGGAGACAGAGAAGCAAAAAGCAGTATGTGCAAAGCCCGTGGGGAGTGTCTGAAGTGGTAGCCTTGACCTTAAAAGGTCGCTCTGTGGTGTGTTCAGTGTCCTTGTGTTTCTGGGGCATCGGCACCTGCGAAGGCCTGACTAACTGGTCCCCTCCTGGACCGGGGCTGAGTCAGACGTGTCACCTTCACAAACCGGCCTCTCTCCTGTCACCCGGCTCCACGATGTCCCTCCACCCTGCGATTCCCTATCTCTGTCGGGAGTTGTCTCTTTTCCATCTTTCATTCCACAAATATTTATGGAGCGCCTACAGTGTTCCAGGCCCCGTGCTGGGCAGCTCACAGACAACAAAAGAGGCTCCAACCCCTGTCTTTGGGGCCTCACATCGCTGGTGGGAGACAAAATCTTGGCAAACGACTACACAGCTAACCCAACCTTTACAGAGGCGGCGACACCACGGAGAGACAGGGGTGCTGTGGGTATAAGGCAGCCTGGCCTGTGCTGGAGGTGAAGCAGGTTCCCAGAGGAGGCGATGCTGAAATCAAGAGGCGCCAGAAGGTCAGACAGCAGACCTTTAGGGGAAGCAGAGGCAAGGGGAGTGAGGGCAAGGCCCTGGGACAGCACAGGCTGGGAGCTAAGGTGGGGTTAGGAGCTCCATCGTTCAGTCTTCACAGACATTCCTCCTGTTATCTCCAGAGCTCCACTGAGCGTTGCCCTACCAGCGGGTGTTTTGTAAATAAGGTGCTCTTCTGAGGCTGCCCGGGTGGTGGATGAGGGGGGGGTCCCACGTCCCTGAAGCAGATGTACTATGAGTACCTCCGGGTACCAGGTCAGGCTGGGGGATGGTGGGGAAGGAAAGCAGCCAAGTCCTGCTCCCCAGAGCTTACCATGGGGACCACCACGAACCTCATAACTAAGATGGGTCAGGTATTAGAAGGAAAGGCAGGGGTAGGAAGTGATGGGGTGTGGTGTCTTAGAGGGGTGGGACCTGCACCTGTGGAGGTGACTCCACCGCACACAGGAGGGACCCCAGGCCCACAGAGGTTCAAGACTTGCCCTTCCAGGCCGGGCAGGTTCTGTGTGCTCCAGTGTGAGACGTTTGACATCAGGTGCCAAACCACTTACCTGATTGAGTCACCTTTTCAAAGAGCCCATGGCCCAAACAAAAGCCACCCACAGGCTGTTTAAGGCCTGGCTGCCATGAGGAATTGGGAGACTCTTCTGTGCTGTAGAATGTAATGGAGCAACTGCCCATAGGATCTGTGGGATTTGCCGAATCATACAGGTACATTCTGTAGGGGAAACGCAAGAAGAGTTTGTAACTAATGCTACATTTAGTTTCTAAAATGCAACCGATTACACACCCCCATCGTGTCGAGAAGGCCCACGTCCTCACAAGGTCACATTTGTACATTAGAATGAGAATGAACGCCCTAGCTTCTCCCAAGTAACCATGATTAAGAAGTTTGGGAAGTGTCCTTTGAATCCTTTTTCTATTTGTTTAAGCCCATATTCTGCACACAACTTACAAAGGAGATCTTAATCTTTGCTGTTTGATATGAATTTTCCATGCAGCAATATTCTTGGCTATTCTTCTGCATTATTACCTGGAGCTCTGTCTCATTTTTTTTTTTTTTTTTTTTTGCTTTTTTTTTTGCAGTACGTGGGCCTCTCACTGCTGTGGCCTCTCCCGTTGCGGAGCACAGGCTCCGGACGCGCAGGCTCAGCGGCCATGGCTCACGGGCCCAGCCGCTCTGCGGCATGTGGGATCTTCCCGGACTGGGGCACGAACCCGTGTCCCCTGCATCGGCAGGCGGACTCTCAACCACTGCACCACAAGGGAAGCCCTCTGTCTCATTTTTTAGCTTCTGCACAATCTGAGGGTCAAAACGGTGGTGACCAACTTTTCCCGTAATGACTGACCACTTGTATTCCATGCTATTTGCTCCCATTTCCATCACACTATCTTTTTACCTGTCTTGTTTCAAGGATTCTCCCTGAATTTGTGTTTTAGGTTTGGGTTTTGAACCCATATGGAATTGGTGGTGTGTATATTTGTGTGTGTTTGAGGTTGAAGGGGGAAGACTCATGCTACCGTTTGCAAATGGATAAACATGTCCATTAGCAGACGTCCCTGGCAGTCCAGTGGTTAAGATTCCCAGCTTCCAATGCAAGGGGCGCGGGTTTGAGCCCTGGTCAGGGAACTGAGATCCCACAAGTCTCACGGCGTGGCCAAAAAAATATAAAAAACGAACAAAAACATATCCATTAGCATTTATTTTTAAATCCCTTCCATTTGAAGTGCCGCCTTTGTCATTTCCTAGATTCCCTTACAGGCGTGGGTGCGGCTGTAGCTGTTCTGCGTGTTAGTTAAACACTCTGTTCCTACCCCGGTTCCAAGATGGAGCGCGAAAGCTCTCAGCCTTGTTTCTACACCTGCCTCACTGCCCTCATCCTCCATGAGCGCTTCAGAATCTATCAGTATTTGCTTTGCTCCAGCCTCAACCCTACGCTCTTCCCTCCTCCCCCCAAAACTCTCGCTTGAATTTTAGAATTACTCTGAATGTACAGACACATCTTGAGACATCTGAGATCTTTATACTGATGAGGCTGAGATTAGGTCCCTTTTATGTCTAGGAGGGACAATAAAACACCAGCCTCTTGATGCAGAGCCCTCGGGTGAAAAAAATACAAATCCAGACGGGTGACCTGGAGGACGGCCACAAGGGCATAGAGTCCTCAGTGACCCACCTGCGCCCTGGCCTCAGGCTTCCTGGATTTCTTCCGAAGGACACAGCATGGGGTGGAGGCATGCACCCACTGCAGGGTCCAGTGCAAGTCATTTTCTGTAGGTGCTGTTTGTATCAGCCTCCTTCCTCATAGGAACTCTTTTGTGGGTAGGAATGAAATAGATTTATTTTTAAAAGAATAGCTGACTCTTGGGCTTCCCTGGTGGCACAGTGGTTGAGAGTCGGCCTGCCGATGCAGGGGACACGGGTTCGTGCCCCGGTATGGGAAGATCCCACATGCCGCAGAGCGGCTGGGCCCGTGAGCCATGGCCGCTGAGCCTGCGCGTCCGGAGCCTGTGCTCAGCAACGGGAGAGGCCACAACAGTGAGAGGCCCGCGTACCGCAAAAAAAATAAAAAAGAATAGCTGACTCTTATTGATCACTAGTAAGTGCTTTCCTTCATTGTTCAAAAACTTTTAGTAGACTTTCATTCAGCAAATATTTATCCTACACCTCACACCCTAGCCAAAGAGAAAAACAATGAACACATAAATAGGAAAGATCCAGGTCCAACATCTGGAGGTGAGGACAACTGGGCAAAGTGAAGCAGAAGGAGCGAGGTGGGCGGGGAGCTGGGCTGGCGGGACAAGGCCTTAGGAGCCGGTGCAATTTAAACAGGGTGTCATAATGGAAAAGAACATAAAAAAGAATGTACATATATATGTAACTGAGTCACTTTGCTGTACAGCAGAAATTAACACAACATTGTAAATCAACTATACTTCAATAAAAATAAAATAAACAAACAGGATGTCAGAAGAGACCTCATCCAGCTGATATAGGAGCAATCACAACTTGCAATTATTTTACTTAATTATAAATTTGCTGTCCGTCTCTTCCACTAGAGTGAGAGCTTCGGAACAGTGGGGACCTCTCTGTCCCCAAGAACCTGGTTGATGCCCGCGGCATGCCGGGCTCTTACTGTGGGTATTAAGACTTGAAGGAGACATCTCTTCTAGCCAAGCAAGATCCAGATCTCAGGGAAAAAGTGGATTAATCCAGAGTGGTTTGGCCACTACCTGCTCTGCAGTACAGACAGAGACTTTAATCACCCATGGTTTTCCGTAAACTGGAGGTTTGGTTTATCAATACATGGGCCTGGGTTTGGGATTCTTCCATTTCTAACAAGATCCCGGGGATGTGGTGGCCCTCATTCAGGGATCTCACTTACTATTTTTGTTTAAATGCCTTATGGTGTTGGGCAATTTCTCAAAACTGTTCAGGTCTTCCTCTGGCCAGACTAAAAAACACAACATTGAAGAGCGACTGGTTATTAGATGGCAAGAAATTACTATTAAATTCTATCGGGAGTAATAACCACGTTGGGGTTACGTGGTTAGAATAACAACAAACAAGCAGAAAGTCTTTATCTGTTAGAGACACACACTGAAGTATTTCTGGGTAAAATGATACAAAGTCTGGGTTCGTTTTAAAATACTGATGGAGGGAGTGGAGGAGAGAGATGGACGAAAAGCAAGGGGCAGAAAGTGGTGCTGACTGAAACAGTGATGAGTCCGGGGGAAGGGTGGGTCGCTGTACAGTTCTCTCTACTTTTGGATGGGTTTGAAAACGTTCTATAATAATAACAAATAAAATGGAAGTAAGGGCTTCCCTTGTGGCGCAGTGGTTGAGAGTCCGCCTGCCGATGCAGGGGACGCGGGTTCGTGCCCCGGTCTGCGAAGATCCCACGTGCCGCGGAGCGGCTGGGCCCGTGAGCCATGGCCGCTGAGCCTGCGCGTCCGGAGCCTGTGCTCCGCAACGGGAGAGGCCGCAATAGTGAGAGGCCCGCCTACTGCAAAAAAAAAAAAAAAAAAAAGGAAATAAGATGTGAGCTCCATTTTCAAGAGAAGGCAGTTTAGCTGCAGTTGAAACAGGGTCCAGCACACAATAGCTGCCAGTACGATTCTAATTAACATCGTTATTATTTAAAAGACGGAGGTTGACAGCTGTCTCTCCGTCACGTGCACGGGAGATCACATTCAGAAAGAAGTGTTCCATTTATGGCTTCTTTCCTTCTTTTCTTTTTTTTTTTCCTTTTTGTGGGAGGTGTGGTTTAATTCCTTTCTCCTCCTGGGGCCGCACCCAAGGCATAACCATCCAACTTCACGGCTATTAACATTTTCTCTGAACACAAATATTTACTCACAAAAGGAACGATTACAGATCTAAAGAACTGCTGTTTGTGGTGGCCACCTGGGAGGGTGGAGGGTAGGTGACTGGGTGGGACAGGGATTTGCATTATTCCCACTTTATAACTTTCTGTTGGGTTTGTTTGTTTGTTTCAATGTATTTTTTTTAAATTACCCACTAATGCATGAATATATTTTGGTTATAAAACATTCATGAAATATGTCTAACTGTACAGCTACAGAACATATAAATGTCCATCTCCCTGGCTTTCTCCTAGAAGTAAATCTTCTTCCTGAGTTTAACCCCCAGATGACTGATAAATTCTTGGAGTCCTTTTTCTATATACTGAAGTATATATCTCTGCAAACAGCTTTTATAAAGATCTTATTCTTTGCTATTTATTTATTTATTGGTTGCATTGGGTCTTCGTTGCTGCACGTGGGCTTTCTCTAGTTGGCGGCGAGCGGGGGCTACTCTTCGTTGTGGTGGGCTTCTCATTGCGGTGGTTTCTCTTGCTGCGGAGCATGGGCTCTAGGTGTGAGGGCTCAGTAGTTGTGGTACACGGGGCTCTAGAGCGCAGGCTCAGTAGTTGTGGTACACGGGCTTAGTTGCTCCGCAGCATGTGGGATCTTCCCAGACCAGGGCTTGAACCCGTGTCCCCTGTATTGGCAGGTGGATTCTTAACCACTGTGCCGCCAGGGAAGCCCTATTTGCTATTTGACACAAATTTACCACCCAGCAATATTCTTGGCCATGCTTCTGCATTACTATCTATCAATACGTTTCATTTTGTAAAATACCTGCAGAAGGGTCCACTTTGTGGAATTCAAATTATTCAATACATACAACCAATACTTTTTCTCCTGGGGTAGAGGATGTCTGGAGGATGACCGAGACCGGAAGGGTTTGTTATTCTAGTAACAGAAAATATTTTAGAAGAATCTAGAACTTTCATCTTATCAGAGGGCAGTGAATCTGGGAGGCACCCCCTCCCCATAAGTGCGGTGATTAAGGGAAGTCCCGTGAGCCTGGATGTCCAGCATGAGAACCAAACAGCCTTGGCACAAGAACTACGTCGGAGAAAGCCCGGTGGGTGACCATGATTTCTTTCCACTTCCTGGGTCCAGCTGACTGTGAAAGGTGGCTTGTGACCAAAGTTTAGATAAAAGCAACCAAAATGATGCAGGCTCTGTTACTCACAGGCTCAGCATCACTCAGAGAAATAGCACGGTTGCGCCTGCACAGATGAGTGGCAGAAACAGGCTTGTCCATTATGAAATGCGTCCCGTGCTGCTGGCATTCTGAGCAGCCTGAGAACATCTGTACCAGCCACTTGGAGACCGTGCCTGTCTGTAGACAAATGCCCTCTAGCCCGTAATTATTAGCATGTCTTAAGCCTTTCCTAGGCTCCAGGCAGTAGGCTAAGCATTACCCTGTCAATCAGCAAATATCCACTGACCACCTGCTACGCATCTCCGGCATCTCCCAGGATTGCAGGCGTTGGGCAGAGAGCAGTGAACCCAACAGACCTGTGTCTGCCCCCGTGGGCTTCTGGCCTCAATCCAATATACAGAATTACAAAGTGTGAAAGCGTGCTGGAGGAGAGATGGTCCAGGCGAAAGGGAATAGTACGTGTCCTACTATGCAGCTCTAACCTGAAAATGTCATCTACCAACTGGCAGCATGAATTTGGACAAGACAGTTAATGGCTTAGGACTTCATTTTCGTCATCGGTTAAAGAAATAACAGTCACAGCTGATCCTGTTGCTAGCCCCAAAGGTGCACCATTTCCAGCTAATGAATGAGGACCCCCGAGAATCTTAGCAAATGAGTGGAACTCCCACCCCTGCCTGCTGATAAGGGGCTGGGAATGGCTGCCTTTGAATTGCTGGCACCCCGTCTGGGCTCTTGTCCCTAATCTTGCCATGAACCCTAACCCAGACATTTATCGCTGGGAGGTGGGATTGGGGATGGTGGGAAACTACCCCCTTCGTGTGTTGTGCCAACATCGTTTACCATGAACATGTGCTCTATTAACAAAAATGCCAATTTAATTTTTTCTTAAATGATCTGGTATTGGTACAAGGACAATCAGAAAAGTTAATGGAACTGAATAAGTCACTTAATACCCTACCCACATATATATGGGGCTTTGGTAAATGGTAAAAGGTATCATTTCACACCAGTGGAGAAAGAACCTATTATTCAATAAATGACATTAAGGAGAAGGATTTTGGGGAAAAACTTAACTCCTTATTCCAAAAAAGAGTACACTTATAGCAAAGAGTTAAATGTATAAAGCGTTAAAGACGTAAGAAAAAGTTTAGTCATGGATATGACTTAAAACACCAAGACATAGGGCTTCCCTGGTGGCGCAGTGGTTGAGAGTCCACCTGCTGATGCAGGGGACGCGGGTTCGTGCCCCGGTCCAGGAAGATCCCACATGCCGCGGAGCAGCTGGGCCTGTGAGCCATGGCCGCTGAGCCTGCGCGTCCGGAGCCTGTGCTCCGCAACGGGAGAGGCCTCAACAGTGAGAGGCCCACGTACCGCAAAAAAAAACAAAACAAAACACCAAGATGTAAAGAAAAAACATTGATGAAATTTACTACCTAAAAATTTCAAATGAAGTATTTTAGATATTAAAAAATGGAAGCATAACCCCCTGTGTGCTCCCCTCCCAGTGTAGGAAGGAAAACAATAGAGCAAGTTATCACCCAGGCGAAAAGAAGTTGGTGTATTTCCTTCTTTGCTGGCTTTTATTCTTTTATTTGCCATATAGGGCTCCATGAATCATATATGGGAATAAAACTCTGTATCCTTCTGCAACCTGCATTTTTCCCCTCAAGGATATATCTTGGAGCTCCATCTGTGTTGGCACAGGTAGGTAGCTCTGTTACAGGAAAATGCAAAACTGCAGCGGTAGCTGACAATGGTTGAGTGTTCAGTGCCCAGCTCTGGGCTCCATTCCCTACGGCGTTACCCTTAATTCTTGCCTCAACCCGATCATGCTGGGAGTTCAGTTTATCCCCATTTAACAGATGCGGTAACTGAGGCCAAGGTCTCGGCAGAGGGACTCTGGAGAACCCACAGGAAGAGGGGAACAAACCCCCGAAATGGATGCTGGCCCAAACACTGTCCTCAGCAGGGCTGGCTCCCCAGGGAGCAATTGAAAATGCAGATCCCCTGTGGGCATGACAGTGGGCAGCTGCAGCCCAGGAAAGAGCCGAAATGCAGGCTGTGCCTCCGGAATGGTCCTTCCCCTCTCCTGCTGGGATTTAGCCCATTTACCCTAATTGGCCAACTTCCTAAACTCTAGAACAGTGGTTCTCAAAGCCTGGTTCCCCCACAGGCGGCATCTGCGTGACCTGAGAAAACAGTAGAAATGCAAATTATCGGGTCCCACCCTAGAACTCCTGAATCAGATACCGGCGTGGGCCTCGGGGATCTCCCTGGAGATGCTGATGTAAGGTCAAGGTTGCAAACCTCTGTCTGGAATGTGAGATCCCCCGGCCTCTTGCTTTTAGCCTTGGCTCAGCTGTGTGTGAGTCTCACAGGCTCTTATTAAGCCAGTCCTCATGAGATGAGCCAGCAGTAGGTGCTCAATAAGTATTGCTAATGATTCCTTAAACAGGCATTTCCTAAACGTCCACCCTGTGCTTGGGTCTTTGCATGGGGCCCCTGGAGGTCGGGTCCAGTGGGGGAGGCCTGTAAGCAAAGAAGTCCACTCAGGAGCCCAGCTCTGACAGCGGGACCTTGACCTTCACTGAATCCAACTGGGGTGTAGGGAACAGGAAATGGGGTTGGATATGGAACCCCATATCCAGTGGGAGACCATAGACTTACAATTCCCTCTGGTCTGAAATGCCAGTGCTAATATATTTACACTTATGCATACTAAAATAAGTAGTTTTTAATGATTAAAATGAGACATATAAAAAAATAAACGAGGCATACGCATGGCTCAGAAAACAAGAATAGGACAGAAGGGCAGAAAATAAAGATTAATTTCTCTATTCCCCTAGCCATTCACCTCCTAATTTTCACATATTGTTTTTAAATTTTGAAATATTTTGTTAATTTGCAAAACAAATGGCCCACTCATCTGGGTTTTCTTTTCTATGAATTGCCTGTTCACATCTTTTGCCTGTTTTTCTACTTTCTGCTGCTTTTTGCTTGACTTTTTTCTTTTTGTTTTCTAGGATTTATATCCTGTATTCTGAAGCACTGCACATATTATGGACTTTTCATATCAAGTATCTTGGTTTTTTGCCATAACAAACCCTGCTTAGGGACTTCCCTGGTGGCGCAGTGGTTAAGAATCCGCCTGCCGATGCAGGGGACGTGGGTTTGAGCCCTGGCCCAGGAAGATCCCACATGCCGTGGAGCAACTAAGCCCGTGTGCCACAACTACTGAGCCTGCGCTCTAGAGCCCGCATGCCACAACTACTAAAGCTT